GCAGGCGCGAAGAAATCATCGAGGGTGCCAAGACTGCAGGCGCAAAAAAATCACCGCGGGTGCGAAAATCCTGGACAGAATGTTAAAAACAGAGGGGTTCCGAGTTTTTGCCATTTTTGGGCCTTCAAGCACGTTTTTGGGGGTGATTTTGAGAGAGAATTCAAGGAAAACTTGAGGTAAGTTACTTATGATCATTCTACTCTATAATATTGAATTATCATCGAATAATCCGATTAGATTACATGTTTTTGAGGTGTAAATCGGGGGTTTGAACTTAGGGATTTGAAAACAAAAAATTAAGATTTGGAGGTCGAGTTGTTATTGGAATTCGATAAAATTGGTATGATTGAACTCGTATCGGAATGGGTGTTCTGATTTCATGAAAATTTTGTCGGGTTCCGAGGGGCGGGCCCGCGTTGACTTTTGTTGACTTTTTGAAGTAAAATTTTAAGTCGCCATATTATTATCCGGAAGTATTTCCGATGAATTTTAATGAAGTTATACAATTAATTTGGTTAGATTTGAGCGGCCCAGAGGTCAATTCAAGTAAGAAGACGATTTTGGAATATCAGTCTAACTTCAAAAAGGTAAGTATCTTGCTTAACCTTGAGTGGGAGAATTATCCCTTAGGCATTGAGTTTTATGTGCCATTTGTGAAATGTGAAAAGCTGTGTACGCGAGGTGACGAGTACGTACTCGGGCTTATACGTGCAAAATTCATTGAATTAAAATCTTAGGCATTATTGTGTAGTAAATTGGGAAATTGTGAAAAATTATTAAATCATCTATTTGCCATGGCTAAATCCTTATTGTTGGATTTGTTTTTATATGATAATTTGATGTGATTGTTACTTGAAATATTTATGAAATTTCGTGAGTATTTTTGGTATAATATTTCTTGGAAATTAATTCCAATATGAATTTTCTTATGCAAATAATTAATTTAAGCAATCTTAAGAAGAAGTGTTAATATAATTATCTAAATTTGCATTAATGAAGGCTTTGCTTTATGCTGAGAAATTTCTATATCTATTGATTGTTTCTAGGTGTTATATACATTGTGTGGAGCCTTAAGCTATTTGTTGTGAAACTAATAGATTTTGATATATCTTTGGAATTTGGTTGTGGCCATTGGGTAAATTATGATATGAATTGATTTTATTATGTTGCTGTGTTAATTTTTCGTGTAAATTATTGTATTGTGTGAGCTATTATTTTGGGGAGATAAGGGTGGCATTTCACCGTTGATATTGTGTGGGTATAAGGGTGGCATTTTATTGTTGTTGTGTTTGTTGGAATATTGTCTGGGCGGACCGATAAGGGTGGCTATAGGAGCGATAAGGGTGGCAATAGGTGCGATAAGGGTGGCTCTTGATATTGTTTGGGCGGAGCGATAAGGGTGGCTATAGGAGTGATAAGGGTGGCAATAGGTGCGATAAGGGTGGCTCTTGATATTGTTTGGGCGGAGCGATAAGGGTGGCAATAGGTGCGATAAGGGTGGCTCTTGATATTGTTTGGGCGGAGCGATAAGGGTGGCAATAGGTGCGATAAGGGTGGCTCTTGATATTGTTTGGGCGGAGCGATAAGGGTGGCTATTGTCAGGGACGATATGTGATGATGTGGGGTTGTGGTGTTGATAATTTTCATGTGATGTTGTGATTTTCTTGTGTTTATTTTTATACCTTGTGCAATTTGTCTTGTTATTGGTAAATTGGTAAATTGATAACAATCTGATTTATGTTGAAATTGAGAGCTTGTGGCTATTGTCAGGCAGATTATAAATTGAAATGTGGGCACGAGGTGCCGTGAGTAAATAATGAGGATATTTGGCACGTGAATTGTTCGTGCAGTTGTGATATGATTTAATTATGGGCACGAGGTGCCGTGAGTAAATAATGAGGATATTTGGCACGTGAATTGTTCGTGCAGTTGTGATATGATTTAATTATGGGCACGAGGTGCCGTAAAAATATGAAAATGGGCTGAGACCCGTATTTACGAAAAATATGAAAATGGATTGAGACCCGTATTTTTTTATGATTGTGAAATGAAGTGTCACATGGTGACTTTTTAATTGAAAGAATTATATTAAAAATATTTATTTGAAAGGGTTCTTATTCAAAAATAATTATATGAAAGAATTGTATTTGAAATATAATTATTTGAGGAAATTATATTTGAAACGATTTATTGAAAGAATTATATTTGAAAAATAATTATTTGAGAAAACTACATTTGAAAGAGAGTTATTTGGAAGAATTTTATGTGAAGGATATTTATTTGAAAAACTTGAATTAATTGGCCGTACATGTATTATTAATTGTTGAGTGATGTTTATGGTATTCTTGTTGTCTTGCTGCGCATACCACTTATTATTTTATCCTGCCCTTATTGCTATCTGTTTCCTAGTATTTTGTATATTGTATTGCACATGTTATTAGACTAGTGAGTGTCTTGACTGTACCTCGTCTCTACTCCATTGAGGTTAGTCTTGATACTTACTGGGTACCGACCATGGCGTACTCATACTAGACTTCTGCACATTTTTGTGCAGAGCCAGGTATTGAAGATAACAGACTTGAGCAGAGTTAAAGCGGGATCGTAAGGATTCAAGGTAGAGCTACTTGGTCGTCGCAGTCCCTTGGAGTCTTTTCATTTCATTGTACTGTTAACTTGTAATCAAACAGTATTGTATATTCGGTTCTCGTGATCATTCTATGTATTCAGTTAGAGTTCGTGACTCAGTACTACAAGTCTTGGGAGGTTGTGTATTGTAATTATTTTCGCTGTTAGTTTAAAAAAATGGTTTCAAAAGGTAATTTAAATCGGCTTACCTAGTATTAGAGACTAGGTGCCATTACGGCGCCTGTGGTAGGATTTTGGGTCGTGACATTATGGGTAATATTTATCTTCAAAATTTTCGAAATCCGGGCACGTGGGCCCTCAGGTGAATTTTAGGAATCTTCCAATTTGGGTTGGATAATTACTCTAATAGCTTAATTATGAACTTGTGTGTATATATTGATTAATTTATATAATATTTGGCTAGTTTCGGATTATTCAACACCTACTTGAGGCTTTGAGAGTGATTTGTGAACCGAAAAATAAACTTGAGAACGAGGTAAGTCTCTTGCCTAACCTTGTAAGAAGGAATTTACCCCATATGTGTTTAAATTGCTATTTGCTACTAATTGCGGGTGCTACGTACGTAGGAAAATATTAATAGGAAATTATAGTAATACAAAGCACCAAATAACAAAAAGAGTAAAGTAGTGAATTTAATACCTAAAATTATAAAATGTTTACTAGAATACTCTCAAAACCCAGTGTCACAAGTGCATGAGTAACTAATAAAATATACAAAACCTCCTATACTACTGTCTAGAATAAGATAGGAAGAAAATAAATAAAATAAGGAGAGACTCCGGGCGCTGCAGAACGGGCATAGAGAGCAACTCACCACTAAGCCTCTTGGTAACAGAGATATGCACCTGAAGGACCACCAAATGCACCTGCCTCAGATCCTACACGATTAGTTCCGAAGTGTAGCGTGAGTACATAAACAACATGTACCCAGTAAGTATCTAGTCAAATTTCGAAGAAGTAGTGATGAAGGGTCGACTTCGACACTTACTAGTGAGCAAAATACATAATGTACAAGATTATTTATTGTCGAGGCGTTTGGCCCGATCCACAAGAATAGTAAAACTTTTCGAATTTCAAATTTCACATTTACAACTCCGAGGTAAACCCATGAGGATATAATTTCCATTAATAATTAAATATTTCTGCCAACTCTCTAAGTAATGAAGCTCGATTTAACATAATCTTTAACTAAGTTTTACTTACTAGTATAAATAATTAATCTAACATGTTGAGTCCAAATTGTGCAAGTAATAGCATAATAAAGGCCTATGTCTACCCGGACATAACATAAATTCTAGCTACAAATAAAATCAATTACTTTAAAAATATTAAAATGAACAATTATATGGTTAGTTCACCGTTGGTTTGCATAGCGGCGATATTGGGCACAATCACGGCCTATAGTAGGAATTTTCGTGACAATAATTTGTAATTGACTACTAAGAGGCCTAGTTCAAACAGAACCCTTCCTAGAAGGTAGCTGCATAGATTAAGTGCTCTTCAAAAGAATTGTATTTGTATGTGAAATTTGAAAGTTCTATTAATAAAATAAAAGGTTTAAAGCCTTAATTGTTTTTTATGAATTATCTTACCCTCTTACTTAGTTACTTTATGGCTTGAAATTATATTAAATGAATTATAACTCATTTATAATTACTAATATATTTCGTTACAAGTCTTTTGTTTTAATATTTTATAATTCTTTACTTAGTTTCTTGATAATTTATTAAGTTTTAAGTTTATTAAATAAGTCAAAAAACTAGTTGTTGCAAACTTTAAAAACTTTGTCATTATCAACTTTAAAAAAATAACCGTTGTTGTCTATAAACAAAATTAGCCGTTGCCAAATTTACTGCTTAAATAATTAAATACTTTTTTAAAAAAAGGCCAACTTAAGGCCCACGAACCATCCCGTCCTGTCCCGTCCCATCCCGTTTGTTAGTGGTATGGGATGAGCCTACCATTTCATCCCATTTATCTTGTCCCGTTTAGACTCGTTCTGCCACCGTCCCGATTAAATATCGTCCGGTCCCATTCCGCCACCGTCCCGATTAAATATCGTCATGTTGTCCCGTCCCGTGCCGCCACCATTCCGATTATTTGGTTTCGTCCTATCCCTGCCCGTTCCGTTGGTCGGCCTTAATTCCGCCTTTAATTAGTGATAACAAGTTATTACTCTGTTTTGTCACTTCACATGTATAAACTCAATCCAAAAATGTCTTATCTATAAATGCTTAATAGGTAGGAACAACAAGAGAAACGTGTCTCACTTGGATTGGTTTAGTTTCGCGTGTCAAACCACGATTGGTTTTAGTACGTAAACAATTGTTGAGTGCCCCACTGATGATCTACCAGTCTCGCGGGGCTTCCACTCCATTATTGTCACAGTCGTTTCAAGTCAAAACCCCTCACTTCCTTTTTCTTTTGTAGTGCATAATAATACTCTCCGATTTTCTTGTTGATCAAAGAATTAAGAAGAAAATAAGGGCAAAGAGAAATGGGTGAGAAGGGGTTGCAAACGCCGGCGAAGAAACTGTTTTTATGGGTTCGAAAGCAGTCGAAAAAGGTCAAGACTGTTTTAGGTTTCGTTACAAGTCTCACTTTGCTTGTTACTCTAAAGTTACTCATCCGTGATCACAATCACTTCTTCATTTTGGCTGAGTTTGTTCATTTAATCGGACTCTTATGTTTGATTTACAAGTTGTCGACTCTCAAAACTTGCTCAGGTACTACTTACCCGATTAGCTCTTCTCTTTTTCTCTTTTTTCTGCTGTGGAATTTTGAAACTTTTTGCTTTATGTGTGGTTTTCTTTTGATAGCCTTCGTTTCTCAGTCCTCTTTCCGTAAATTTCTCCGTTGACCAACAAAGTTTTGGACTTTAAATGAGTGTCTTTACCTGGAAAACTTTCTTTTTTGGAGAATTATTTGATCGTCATAGAGATTAGACAAGAAAGACTTTTTTAAAGTATTAATTCTGCGCATCATCTTTATAACTTTATAACCCAATTTCTAAGTTATCTACCGTTTGACTGTGGCTCAGCTAAAAGTGTATTTCTAAATGTCTTTCCTTTCACTTCTTTCATTCCCACTTCTTTGTTATCTTGAAGTTGAGATATTTATCGTTCCCTAAAAGAGAACAAGCTCCAAAATTTGGGTTGTAACTGTTTCAAACAAACTCCTTATTCTATATCAGTTTGCTGCACAATTAATCTATCAATGAAAATTTTAGGAGTTTGCTTGGCTTTTACTTTACTCTTCATTTTGCTGGTTAGTGAATAGGTGATTGGTTATATAGGGAATATAACATAACTATAAAATTACAATATCCTTATACTCTGCTACATCTTGTGCAATTACCGTACAAGCTTCGAGCGAACTCCTTTCGAATTCAACTTCCGTGGGCTGTTACAGCATGAATGTATGGTTGATGTTTGTCTAATGTCAACTTGAACCTTGTTGACATAAAAGAAGTGACCCGTTGAGCCCTCTTAAAAGGAACTAGCAAGTTTGTTCTATTCTTAGCACGCGCCAATATATTTGCTTAGTGACATCTCAATAGTGATTCAGTATTGGCCTAAGCAATAAAAAGAACTTAAGTGGTGTAATTTTAACTTTTTAAGATTAATCTTGCAAAATTTTGTATTATCCAACACAGTAATTCGTCAATACCTGGTATGCCTCTCTACTCCCACAGATTATAGGTGACAAGGCATACTTTCTATATAACCCTGTTGTGTGACATGTGCAATTTCGAGATCAAGTTGTTACAGTCAAAACTGCAATAGTTCAATTGTAGTATAATCCACTGTAATTCTTAATATTTTGTTCCAAATAATGTTCATTTTTTCACGTTTCACCATTTATCTGATGATCTTTCTTCACCTGCTATGGTTAGGCCTCTCATTGAAGACTCAAGTGCTTACGGCGATATTTCTAGCTGTAAGAGTATTTTGTAGTTTCATCATGGAAGGAGATATACACACCATTCTAGATTTTGTTACACTTGTGGCAACATTGTGGGTAATATATATGATGAAGTTCAAGTTGAAGTCATCCTATATGGCAGATCTCGATACCATGCACTATTGGTATTTGGTAAGTACATTTTTCTCTAGTCGCTTTCTGTTGTCCTCATTGTTGCTGCAACCAAAATATAGTTTTATACTTGCTCCTTGTGCGATTCACACATTGAACATAAAAGGAGATATGTGTTCATTTACCTTATTCATAATCTTTTATATTGTTTAATTCCAAACATGATCTTGTATATCCTCCTTTTGCCACTGAATCACTCCAAAATTTTGTGATACATAAGATGGATGTAAATTGTTTACCAAGAGAACAAGAAAAAAAAAATACTGAAAGATGTTTTAGTACATGTATCTTGGACAATAAAATATGAGTTAAATAATGCCAATGTATATGCGTGCTTGTAGGTTTTGTCAGTTGAATGGTTTTAAACTAGTAATAGAGATAATATAATGTATATTATTGTGTAATGCATTTCTTTTGGGTGAGTTAGAGCGATTTAATGTGACAAACTCCTTCCTTCCCTTTTGTTTAATAAAATTTTACACTGATACTCCTTTTAAGTAGTTCCTGAAAATCAAATCTATTCCTCTGTTTTTGCTGCTATACTAATTAGACCTTGTAATATTACTTAACTAGGTAATTTGCTCGCGCTTCGCGCATTCATGAATGACGTCATTCAATCTCATTCCTTTCACTATATTGTCATACAATCTCACCAAAATGTAGTAATTACAATATAATTATCTGCAACAATCTAATTCAAAAGTCATACATGTAATAACGTATGTAATATCTTTATATACACAAATATATACAGAGTCATTCTTAGATTCAAAAGTCATAAATGCAATAAAATTTATAAAATCTTTACATACACAAATATATTCAAACTCATTCTTTGCATGAATGATCTAGGTAAAACTCCTTTATATATGTCAGCTCTCAGTTGTACTTGTTTATTTATAAAATATTTAATCCGCATTTATGAGATTTTCCTATAACTCAAATATATGGAAACTCCATATTCTTTAGCAGAACCTGTAACAATCATAAACATAATGTTAATTGTGATGAGAAAATGTGTAAAATAGATTTCTTGATAGTTATAATATTGCTGGAACTAAAAGTATTTTTCTGATCATTAGGCTTCAGCTGTTGTGTTAAATGCATATGTCGATCTTCTAAGTAGAACACAAAAGAGTAGAGCATGTAAAATATAATAATGCTAATATAGCAGGATTCAATATTTAATCAAATGAAAATAAAAATTCTTTAAAATTTTGCCAAGGAAAAGTATATATTTCCTGATCATTTCAATGTCGCAGCTATATTTAATGCATATGTCATTTCAAGTAGAACATAAAAGTGTACAGAAGAAAGTACTAACATAGGAGGAAGTTGAACGATTATCTAATAGTAATTTATATGGTGACGTTGAAATCTAATAGTCTAAACATCATAAAACTAAACTTTTTATAAACAACTTTTATAGATATTGTTGTCGAATGCGTGAGTTTTGGCAAGAGGAGAAGTAATAGGAAGTTGAACTACTATGTAATACTAAAATCCAAGCAGCTCCATAACACTAAATTATATATAAACCAACATTTATAGATATAAATTTTGTCTATACATATCAGGATTCTTCCGGTTGATGAGCCGAAAATAACTGCAGGTTCCATACTATTTTATGTATGAATTTTAACCGACCCTAAAAATATATGTGACCTGAAAGCATAAGAATGCATAAAAATAAAGTTAGGGATTTTGAAAATGACGAACTTGGACTGTTTAGTCAATACAGTTCCGATAAAACTGACATATATTACCAAGTAAAAAACAACATTATCATATGCCTCTAAATCATGTCATGAGATTTAGTAGTAAGTACATAATAATCTATCATTTTTCGTCCAGTTCATAATGATGAGAAAGATCTCAAATATGACTTCAGTGGTATCATACCCGCAAACAAAAGGTTAAAAAGCTGACTGAACATCACATAAAGGTTGTTGGTTAAATAATATGGTGAGCAAATTGAATAAAAAACCTCGCAACAACCACTAAGATAGCCAAAGAAAGGTAGAAATATATCACATCATATATATATAGTAGTAAAAGATGGGATTTGATGTGGCGTGAATGAAACATGAGTAAGAGTAAACAACAATTGGTTATAACTAAGATGAAGAATAAGCGACATGACTTTTAAAGGAGTGAAAAAACAACAGTATCATATGCCTCTGAATCATATCATGAGATTTAGTAGCAAGTACAAAAATAATCTATAATTTTTCGTCCAATTCCCAATGATGAAAAGGATCTCAATATGAAATTCGGAAGTATCATACCGCGAACAAAAGGTATGTAAAAAGAACTACCATATTTCATATAAGGAGCACACTGGACATGACATAAAGGTTGTTGGTTAAATGATATGGTGAGCAAATTGAATAAAGAACCTCACAACAACCACTAAGATAGCCAAAGATGTCTTAACTCTTGGGTTTTCGTTATTGCTTGAATCTAAAAATAAAGGTAGAAATATATCACAATGCTTAGAAGTAATTAAAAGATGGGATTTGATGTGGTGTGAATGAAATAGGAGGAAGAGTAGAAAACGAATTTTTATAATTAAGATAAAGAGCCGCATGACTTTTAAAGGAGTAAAAAAGAGGGTGTCTTTTGGAGGAAAAGAAAGGACACTTGCATATAGCAAAAAAGCAAGATATGAGATTTTTTGAAAAAGCCATAAGGCAGCTCGAACACAGACTGAATCAGCCACTGCAGTGATTTGAAGAAGCCATATACATACAGTTCACTTCAAACCAGTTTCAAGATACTTTAACGTAACATAAAAAAGTAGAGCAGGGAAAGAGCAACCTCCTTAAAATAGTCTCATAGGGATCTAGTTACCCAAATAATGGTTTTACTTTTTTACAATTCCATCACCCATTTCTTTTTCTACAACTCGTGTGTTAAATGCATACATCGATCTTCAAGTATAACACTAAAAAGTAGAGCAGGGAAAGTGTAATAGTGGTAATATAGGAACAATCTATATTTAATAATGCTAATCTACTGAAACTAACCTTCCAATAATCTATATATCACTACATCATTGTTGTAGTCCATACAATGGGGACACCTAATAGAAGTAAATAATTATTTAATAGGTGAATAATTATAGTATTTCAAAATATTATAAGATTTAATTATGATTTTTGGAAAAAAATATTTACAGATTTAATTATGGATTGCGATAAAAGCATAGTAGCATTGAATTTTTGTATTTTTGCAAGTCAATTAGAATCTTTAGTTCCTTACTTATTAGTTAGAGAAAAAATTATAGTATTCTAGAATATTTAAAGACTTTGTTCTTGAACTTTGCTCGAAAAGAAACTATCAGTAATAAAATAGTTTTTTCTCCATAACAACGACACAATTAGTATCAATTGTGGAAAAATCATAGTAGTGAAGAATCTTTGAATTTTTGAAAGTGCTTTAGAATCTGTACATCCTTAGTTATTTGATTAGAGTGGTAATATAGCAACAATCTATATTTAATAATGCTAATCTACCGAAACACAAAAGAGGTAAGCAGAACAAATATAATAATACTAATCTTCTAATAATTCTTTTATCACTACATCACTGTTATAGTCCATACAATGAAGACACTTTGTAGAAGTAAATAATTATTTCATCGGTGAATAATTGTATTTCAGAATATTAAAGGATTCAATTATGATTTTTGGAAAAAAATATTTACATATTTAATTATGGATTGCGATAAAAGCGTAGTAGCATTGAATTTTTGTATTTTGGTAAGTTAATTAGAATCTTTAGTTCCTTACTTATTGGTCGGGAAAAAATTATAGTATTCTAGATATTTAAAGACATTGTTCTGGAATTTTGCTCGAAAAAAAAAATTATCAGTAATAAAACAGTTTTTTTCTCCATATCAGCGACACCGACACAATTAGTATCAATTGTGGTAAATTCATAGTAGTGAAGAATCTTTGAATTTTTTAAAGTGCTTTAGAATCTTTACATCCTTAGTTATTGATTAGGGTAAAATTATACTATCCAAGAATATAGACATTATAAGTTCTGATTTGGAGGGAAAACATAATATTGAAGAAGGTTTGAACTGTACCTCAATCTTTTGACTGTGTTTTGGCATCCTTGTTTCTCCACACCTACACAATTAGATTAGGGTTCATAGATGTTAGTAAAAGTCGAATATGTAATAATAAAGCGTAAATGATAAATAGCAAACTTTCGAAGGATTACAAATTATGGAGCGAATACCCATTTTTCCTGAAATAGTGGGCGGGATGATGTTCTTCGGATGTCTTGTGTAATCATAGAGAGAGTTTTTATGTATTCGTTTCCACCAAATAAGGAATAAAGTAAGAAGATAGATGTAGTTGAGTTTATAGGAATTAATTAACAGATTTAGAGGTTTGGGGAAATTGAATAGGAAAGACGGAGTTGAAAGTTTACAATAGGTTTATTTGAGAAAAGAAGCGGTGCGGGAGGGCAATTGAATATGGTAAAAGGAATTGAAAGTTTAGAAAAGGTATAGTTGATGCGAAGAAGCGGCGTGGGAAGGAGCAGTTCGGTGTGTGAAGCGTTGTGGTTCTGTAATTTCAGGTTTAAATTGCCAAAAAACCTAAAGCGTAGAAAATGCAATTGCTGCTATTTGGGAGTGCCACGTCACCGGCCTTAGGGCCCTCAAATATATATATATATATAGATTTTTTTCATGATTAGATGTTCAACTAGCATCTGTTGCTTTGTGGGAAACATCTGTGGCTGTTCAATGTTGAAAATGTTGGAGAACTTTAAAGACTTTGTAAGCTGAATTTATTTGTTTTTGTACATCGTTTAATGATTGAGAATAATAAGATAATCGTGATTACTAGCTGGAAGGCTGTTTACAAGTTTATAGCCAATATGTAGCCACCTTGATATACTCTAGCTCACATTATGAGAATAACTCCAACATGTACCTAAACAACAACAACAATAACATACCCGGTGTAATACTACTAGTGGGGTCTGGGGAGGGTAGTGTGTACGCAGAACTTACCCCTACCTTGTGCAGGTAGAGAGGCTATTTCCGAATGAGAGCATATACAACACGTACCTAGTACTGCTGACATCACAATTGGCGTTTTCAATATTCCATTTTTGCAAATATGTTGTAGTTTTCACTGTAGGTTATACTTTACATGATGTACGTGGCAACTAGGCTAGCATGTTCGGCAGTTAAGTAGTTGTCATCTATGTCTTGTGACTGCAAATTCTGAGAGCTTTGTGAATAAGATGCTGTAATGTGGCATTAGGAAGTAAATTTGTTGAAGTTGCTTTAGCTTTTGGAAAACAATATATTCCTTACCTACTTGATCATGATACATCTACTATGCCTGCTAGTATGCAAGATGGTCAGTAAAATTATTGGAAGTCCTTCATGTTCCCAGTAAAATAGCTGCAGTGACATTTTTTTCCCATGTGACCTTTTTGCACAGATTGTGCCTTGCGCCGTTGCAGCATTTTTTATCCATCCTGCTACAGCTCATTTTATCTTCTTCCGAATGCTTTGGGCTTTTTGTGTATACCTGGAATCTATCTCGGTGTTTCCTCAGCTTCGGTTGATGCAGAATGTTCAGGTTTGTATCAGTTCTTTCCTCTGAGAAAAGAAAGCTTTTGAGAAAAAACCATCTGCTCTTTTACAGGCCTTACTTTCTTGTGCGAAGAGCTTATAGTTCCTATTCCTGCATTTCAGATAATTGAGCCATTTACAGCTCATTATGTGTTTGCATTGGGTGTTGCAAGATTCTTGGGTTGTGCTCATTGGATTATTCAGGTTAGTTTTGAAGTGTTATTTTGTGGCGTATAACTTTCGTATTAAGTAGAGCACTTGTCCAAGCCCCCGTCCCTTTTCTTTTCTTCCCATAATTCAAGAGACTTAAGAAATACACCTATTCATATACAGGTCTATGACAGTCGTGGAGCATATTTATATTTGGCTGGAAGGGGTTACTTCTGGATACCTATGGTGTTTTTGGCAGAAATCGTCCAAACGTTTATCTTGGCCGATTTCTGCTATTATTACATAAAGAGGTGAGCCACGGCAGCTCTTCAGCAATTCAATTGCTTTCTTGAGCATATCTGACAAATCCATTTCCTCTCTTTTTTCCTTATATTTGCAGTGTCATGAGCGGTCAACTTTTAGTCCGCCTGCCTCAGCCGGTATAGAAGTTCGAATTACCTAGAATCTGTAACATATGCTGACAACTGTTATGTTATGGTGTGGATATGGAGCTTCTTCTACCTCTTATCTTGTCCCACTCTTGCCAATGCAACTGGATAAATAAATAAATAAATCTGCTAGATGCATGGCCATGTCTTGGTTCTTGATGTCTCTGAGCACCTATATTTCTGGAGTCATTTTGTACTATGCTAAATTCGCATAATCGTGCAGTGGACAGACATCCTTCCTTGGTGGGTCGTTATTCAATCAGTTAAAAGAAAAAGGGATAGGCTTTGGCCTTGTTTTGAGTCGCTACACTAAGTACAATTTCTAAAAGAATCCTTAAGCAGTACATATTGAGAAAGAAGTACATAAGTCTGAGACAATAGTTGAAATTGAAGGATAATCACTTGTAAAGCTGAAGAAAATCTTTAGGCAAACTTTAGAGGGATGATATCAAAATCCTGTTCTTCTAAGATATTCCGAGTGAGTTGGTTGAGTCTGTATTTGTGCAAGCACTAGTTCCCCTTTAAAATGAATGCACGTCCGTTATTGTGTTATGTATATGCTCTCTTCAACAATTTTCTTCAGCTTCAAATAACAACCTACTTCCTGTGAGGCATAAAGGAAATTGAAGAGATGAATGTTGCCATTGATGTATAGAGTTAGAGAAAAAGTGAAACTTGATTAAGAATATGTTAAAACGGGAATTTAAAGGATATATGTTTGAGATGTGAATCCCAAATCTTTCGAAGCAGGTCCTGCATTTCTAGTGCCATCACTGACAACTAGAGCACGAGATGGTTCGTAATCCTGTGGTGGAAATCCATTTAGAGAGGTGGTATAGCCTGTCCCTTATATCAAATATTATATGAAGAGAAAAATAAAATTGTAATCAAATTGATGGAGATCACATGTTTGCTGGAACTGTCTTATGTTGTTATGGAATAAAATTAGATTAATTTCGGGAAATATAAGGTTTCCCATATTAATGAATCGGTCATCAGTCTTTCCACTAGTCTAAAGGTTAGTTGTAATCGGTGTTTTAAAAGGCGTGAGCGTAAGACGAGGCATTTACATATACCTCATCGAGGCGTAAGTCCCGAGGCACAGGGCGTAAGCCCCATAGGTATTTAATTTTTAATATTTTATAAAATAATATAATGACAGTAAATATTTATAAACAGGTAAAATTACATAAAAATTGAAGAAAACTATAAATATGTGAAATATATATGCTCCATCCCCACAAAAAACTAGTCAAACAATCTATTATACGCCACTTACAAGCAATGTTTTAAAAGGCGGGGGCGTGAGGCGGGGCATTTTACTTGATATGGGGTGATACTTAAGCCTGGACGCCCGGGGGGAGGGGGGAGGGGGAGCGTAAGCCCCATAGATCTTTAAAATTTTTAATTTATAAATTAATAAAATAACATAATAACACAAAAAATATAAAATATAAATTATAAGTTAAAAATTAAAAGAAAATTAAAGGTACTCATAGAAAATAAATATCTAGTATGATTCTTAAGTATAACTAATGCATACAAATTACGTATAACGTCTTTAACTTTTAAATAATTAAAAACTTATAATTTCTTTAACAAAATGATCAAACTCCACATTTTACCTTCCTAAAAGTAAATAATTATAAAATATTATTAGTACGATAATTAAAATATTGCTCTTTCATGAATAAATACAAATTAGTTTAAGATATCAAATTAATAAAAGTATATAACAAGGAGGGACAAATGAACTAAGACACAACCAATAACAAGTGAAGATATAAATTCGCAATACTATGTCTCATTATTAGAGTTATGCTCAATCTTCATATTTATCGATTAATAGAACTTTTATCATTAATTTGTTAAAGAATTTTGAAGGTCAACGTTATTAATTAGGAAATTCGACACGTGATTTGCGTTAGAACTATTAGGCGAGCCCCGAGCGTTGGGCGTTAGGCGTGTTTAGGGCGCACGGTCGGGCGCTTGGGGCGTAAGCCTCACAGAATTAAGCCCCAGGGCGTTATGCAAGTGCCCCGGCCTGGGGCGAGCCCCGGGCAAATCTCAAAAATGCCTTTTAAAACACTGGTTGTAATAGTCCAAACTTACCGCAAAACTTCATACTTGTGATATGAAGTTTGAACTGCGGCAATTACAGATATGAAATTTAGTTGTAGCAGTTCAAACATCTGAACAATAGTTTGAAATTTAATTCTGGCAGTTCAAACTTCTTATCACTAATATGTGCAAATGGCATATTTTGATGAGTAATGCTTGTAGAACGTTTCCAAGTTAACTTGAGCAACAAATTGATTAGACGTTTCATCTTATTCAACAGTCACTAGCATTTGTGATAGGCATTTATTTCTCACGAACATATTGAGTTCAAGCCAAGTTAAATATTGCAATTGTATCTTTCTTATTTGTTGGTCCCTTTCACATCCAGATCAAATCGAATTTCTCCAAGAATAATACTCCCTCCGTTTTAATTTATGTGAACTCATTTGACTGGGTACAGAGTTTAAGAAAAGAGAGAAAACTTTTAAATTTGTGGTGTAAAATGAGGCACATATATTTTATGTGGCTATAAATCACTGCATGAAGGTAAATTATTTTCAAATAGAGAAAAAGATCGTTATTTTTGACACGAACTAAAAAAAAAATAGGTTTACCTAAATTGAAATGGAGGAAATATAATATAGTCCTTGTGTAAAACGAAGGCTAAATGATTATGTAATTATGTTCCTTTTCTTACTCCACGGAGGAAACCAATGCACTAATCGCGTGATCTCATTTCTTGCTGACAGTAATTAAATTAGTTACACTCCATTTTTCAAGTATTAAAAACCCTTTCAACACTTTGAAGTAGAGATATAAATCATATTCTATCTATCTATATCCAGAATTCAGGATTTCAGGAGGATGGGTGCATCATCACCCGACCATCGTTTGATTTGATCATCTAAAATTTTACCATGAACTAACAACAACTTGACAATTAAAGAACAATCAATATTGTTATTACAAAAACTTATCATTCCATAGACAAATATCAATAAATAGTTTTCTTACCTTGAAAAACTTTCAATGATAATATCGTTATTTATAGTTACAAATACTAAGGTTGATATATTAAAATTAAATAACTAATCAAAATGAGAGTGGTAAATGAAAAAAAGAGGGAACTTGAAATTGAAAAGATTCAAATTAATTTAAATTTCATTTTTTAGAGTTTTTGAAACTCAATGATTGAACCAAAAAAGAGAATTAAGAAAACATCGAAAAGAATCCAATAAAAATGAAATTTTAATTTAAGGATATATTAAAGGGTGAACCGGCCAATATTGCACAAATCTACCATTACACCAAATGCTCTTTTGACCATGGGTTCCATATGAAAATTTAAGTAGCTTTTCCGAAAAATACCACTGTAATACACAACCTAGGGAGGGGTCCTCCACGTGGATCCGCCTCTGTCTATATATATATNGAGAGACAATTTTGCCCTTGAGCCAAAAAAAGCCTTCTACTAAATTAAATGAGAAAAGTTACCGGGTAAATGGGGGAGGATTGTTTCATCTGCCACTAATTAGTGTAGGTTATACTTGTGCAAATTTTCTTAATTATTATTTAGAATATCATCACCTTTTCACTTTCCTACATTTACTGATTTGGTCCTCTGAGCAACCTGTGGATGAGATTTAACTCAATTATTCTTCACAAACCAGTGAACTAAATTAGTACATTTAACCAAACTTACGTTGGCCTATCTCTGCATTGCTACTAAATATCTGAAGAAAGGGAAGAGTTGCATTCCAGTGAATTATTAAATGAGTACATTAACGAGACTTACGTTAGCCAATCTCTTTGTTGCCAAAAACAATTTGAAGAGTTGCATTGAATGATTAATTAGACTAATTCAATTAATTAGATGAGTGAAATGGTAGCTCAAGGAACGTTAACCAGGGAAGAACTATAAGAAGGCAAAAGAACGTTAACCAAGTCTTCCCCTCCATCTTTATAGACTTTAACGTTAACCAAGTCTTCCCCTCCATCTTTATAGACTTTAACGTATGGGATGCTTTTTAGCAGATTTTCTTTAATCTTCCATTTTTATTTTCTTTTTTCTTTTCTTTTCTTTCCTTTTTTTTTTCTCGGAGGAAAGTTTGCAAAAAAAGAAGAAAAGATAGAGAAATGGGCGAAGTACATAAAGTAGCTGTTGGATGTTGGATTCCGAAATGAGAATAGTAGTCATATTCGTTCCCGCTACCCTCTCTTCTTGCTATATCATTAGAAGTCTAGAACAACATTAGTTATAAGATATGCAACGGTCTTTATATATCATTGTCGATGAAAATTTAAGCATGTTCCATTATCCAGCATTAGTTTTATAATATCTCTATTTTGGATTTTACTATATTTGGAGAGGGCGCAAATACAGATGGAGAAAAAGTAGTATTGTTGTTTCCCTGTTTGGATTGGTAAAGAAACCTTTCTTGTATATTAATGATTATTTTAGTACTCTAAAATATTGTTGGATATAGATTCTGTACTAAATATATTATTGTAGTATTGACGAATTAGTATATCCTTTTAAAACAAAATAGTCCTTTCAATATTAATATGCGAAATGTTAAAGCGCTTGAATTCAAAAGATTGCAATTCGACCTTTTCTCTTCGAATTGGAATCCCTTTGCTCGACAAATATCGCATGAGAGTAGTTTGTCTTGAAAAATAGAAAAATATGGATATGTAATGAACTTTTCAACCTAATTTGTAGGCACAATTCATTTGTAGTCAAATCTATAATTCTAAAATTATTCTTTTCTCTACCTCTCTATATCTCTTCTCTGTGTTTGATTTGAAGATATCTAAAAATTGTATAACGAAAGGACAAACTGGAGATATAAAATATAAAGTACTAGATATGTTTAGATGTACAACTATCATCTTTTATATTTTGATCTTGTATTTTTACACTTTAAATATTATTTATATCTCACATATGCTAATATTGTTGTAATATTCAAAATGTATATACTGATTAGCATGAAATATACGTGCAATGCACCTGATCAAAACCTAAATGACTATTTTGTCTTGCACTTGAAAACTACTCATGTAATTATTGTACGAAAAAATAAATGTAATCTCCAATAAATGGTAAATAAATAGTACGGATATAAAAGTAAAAGATAAAATCAGTTCATGCAGCCTATTCAATTCCTTGTCATTGTGACATTTTTATTGTATATGTAGGTTCCATGTTCTTAAAGCTAATTCCTTTTAAGGTTGAGGGATTCAATTCATGTAGCTTATTCAATTCATTAAAATTATTTTCTTCTTTCAATTCCGTATTATAAACGTTTATCTCAATCATTAAAATGTTCATTTAAAATTTGTTTTTTTCAGCTTCAAATTAAAACAGTAATTATGTACTCATGCATGTTAAATTATGTTAGAAAAGCTATTTATTTGTTAAATCATGAGTAGACATGAACTCGATTAACTAATTTTTTTTTGCCAAA